ATTATGGTCGGATCCTTCTGTTCAAAATTCAGATCTTTCAAAATTCTTCTTAACCAAACAGCTTCGCATGCTGTTTCTGCTGCAGCAATATATTCTGCTTCGGCGGAAGACAAAGCAACTGATTTTTGCTTTCTTGAGCTCCAAGAAATTACATTGGAACCAAGACAAAAAATGTAGCCGGAGGTACTTTTTCGGTCATCGATGGATCCAGCCCAGTCGCTGTCTGTATAACCAACCAAATTGAAGTTTTCTTCCTTTTTAAATTCAATGCCATGACCCTTGGTGCCTTTTAAGTACCTCAAAATTCTTTTGGCTGCAGCAAAATGAATTTTACTTGGTTTATTCAAAAACCTGGATAAAAAACTAACCGAATAAGTGATATCCGGCCTTGTGTTGAGGTAGAGAAGCGAGCCGATCAATTTTCGATAAAGTGATTCATCTGCTTTTTCAGCATCATCATGGACTTGAAATTTTTCATTTAGCACCATTGGGGTGGAGACAGCCTTGCACTGGTTCATATGAAATTTCTTCAGAAGATCATCAATATATTTTTCTTGAGATAGAAAAATTTTCCCCTGCTTTTGCTTCACTTGAATCCCAAGAAAATAATGCAAGAGCCCCAAGTCAGTCATTTCAAATTTTTTCATCATTTTCTCCTTGAAATCATCCACCATGGATTTTATAGTGCCAAAGCAGATTAGATCGTCCACATAAAGGCACACTATAAGATAGTTATTGCCACAGTTTTTCACGTAAAGTGATGATTCACTTGGGCTGCGAATGAAACCTTCTTCTAGAAATAGCCATTAATTTTGCTATTCCAAGCTCGTGGTGCTTGCTTCAACCCATAGAGAGCCTTTTTCAATCGATAGACTTTTTCTTCATGGCCTTTGATTTCGTATCCCTCAGGCTGCTCGACAAAAACTTCTTCTTGAATTTCACCATTTAGAAATGCTGATTTTACATCAAGTTGGTAAATGGGTACTTCCAACTGAGCAGCTAGTGCAAGAACGGTACGAATCGTCTCAATTCGAGCAACTGGAGCAAAGGTTTCGGTAAAGTCAACTCCAGGCTATTGAGAATAGCCTTTTGCGACGAGTCGAGCTTTGTATTTTTGGATTGTGCCATTTTCATTGTACTTGATCTTGTAGATCCATTTCAGCCCAATTGTTTTCTTTCCTTTTGGCAATTCAACAAGTTCCCAAGTTTCATTTTTCTTGATGGTGGAAATTTCCTCGTTCATCGCTTTTGTCCAGCATTCCTCATTGGATGCTTCTTCATACGTTTGAGGCTCACTGGAAAATAAAACAAGTTCACTTGATTCATAAATTTCTCGAAGCGAACGTGTTCTCCTTGGAGGACTCTCATCTTCAGCTTCTCGAGGTGGAGCTGAGTTTTGGTCCAGGTTTGGCTGCTGTGAAGAATCTTGAGATGGATCATGATAAGGAACTGAGTCCACCTGCTTTTCTTTCCAATCCCAAGATGCCTTTTTATCAAAGACAACATCTCGTGAAATAATAATTTTATTTGTTATTGGGTCCAACAAGCGATAGCCTTTGGATTCTTCACTGTAGCCAATAAACAAAAGCTTTCGACCTTTTTCATCAAATTTTCCACGACTTTGAGATGGAATATGAGCATATACAATGCTGCCAAAGACTCGAAAATGATCGACTCTTGGCTTTTGGTCGAACCAGGCCTCGTACGGAGTTTTATTTCGGACAGCTTTTGTCGGCGACTGGTTAAGAATATAAGCAGCAGTGTAAACAGCTTCAGCCCAATATAAATTTGGAAGACCTTTGCCTTTCAGCATGCTCCTGGCCATCTCAACTATTGTTCGGTTTTTTCTTTCAGCAACACCGTTTTGTTGTGGTGTCCTGCTTACAGTCAGCTGCCTTTTAATCCCATTTTCTTTACAATATTCGATGAAAGGATTATAAAGAAACTCGCCTCCACGATCAGTTCTCAAGGTCTTGATTGAAAAACCACTTTGTCTCTCGACAAGTGCTTTGAACAGGAGAAAAATAGAAAATGCCTCAGGTTTTTGGCTAAGAAAGTAAATCCACATCATTCTCGTATAATCGTCGATGAAGAGAATGAAATACTTCTTGTTTCCGGGAGTTGGTGTTTGCATTGGACCACATATGTCCGAGTGAACAAGTTCCAACGGTAATTTGGCTCGCCAAGAAAATTTTGGAAATGGAAGCTTGTGCATTTTCCCAAATATGCAGCCTTCACAAATTCGGCTGGACTTTTGAATATTAGGAAGCCCAATCACCATATTTTTCTCCTTCAATAGGTAAAGTCCCCCTTCATTTAGGTGACCATACCGTAAATGCCACCAATGTGAATAATCTAAAATTTCTGCATTAAATGCAACACTTTCCTCCAACGGCATCATGAGAGGAAATATTTTATTCTTCATTTCAATATTAGCAATGATGGCATTCTTGTTTTTATCAAGAATCTGACATTTTCCATTATCAAAGTGGACTGAAAAATCTTTCTGAATGAGCTGGCCAACACTAAGAAGGTTGTGTGAAAGAGTTGGCACATAAAGCACGTCCGAGATGAGTTTTTTTTCACCTTTATTTGTTTGGACAGCAATTGTACCTATTCCTTTAGCACTCCTTTTTGAACCATCGCCAAGAATAATTTGAGAGTAGATATTCGGATTTATATCGACAAAAAGATCTTGATTTCCTGTCATGTGGTTGTTGCACCCACTATCCAAATACCACATATTTTTGTTGGCCGTGCTTGAGTAGAATAATATTTCTTCGCTCGGTTGCTCCAAAAATCTTGCATCTTCTTTTGCTTCAGATTTTTCTTTATTTTGGAACCAACAATTATTTTGAGAGTGGTTCGGAATTTTGCATCTCTTGCATCTAAAGAAGCAATCTCTAGATTCATGGTTGGTCTTTTTGCAAATAACACAACCAGAGGACTGATCACCACCAAAATTTTGAAATGACTTGCCTTTGGAATTTTTATTCTTCTGATTTCTCCATTTTCCTTTTCCCTTCTTTTGACTTGTGCGGGAATTAGTGTTTGATGCTTGCTTGGATTGGAAAGCTTGTTCGGTGAATTGATTTGCCGAACGGTTGATTCTTTGCTCATGGGCGAGAAGTGTTCCCGTCAACTCGTACACAGTCATTGTGGACAAATCTTTCGACTCCTCGATGGCTGCAGCTGCATGATCAAATTTTGGAGGGAGACAACGTAGCACTTTTTCCACAACCCTTTTATCTGGGATCGTATCTCCACAACTTTTGATTTGGTTGACAATCTCAGAGACTCGGGAAGAGAAATCACGAACCGACTCACTTTCTTCCATTTTAAGATTGTCAAAATCTCTCCATAAAGATTGTAGCTTCAAGGCGATCGTTTTTTGTGTTCCTTGGAATTCTTGCTTCAAAATTTCCCAAGCATCCTTGGCTTTTTTAACACCAAAGATACGAGGAAAAATAATTTTGCCAACGCCTTGTTGAATGTACCGGAGTGCCATAGCATCTTTTTTTATCAACTCCTTTTGTGCCTTGGCTGATTCGGCCTCTATAGGAGATGATTTTTCATCATCGATCACGTACCAAAGATCCAAAGAGATAAAAAATGTTTGCATTTGGCTGCTCCAATAATCATAATGTTCTCCTTCAAAGGTTGGCACTTGACTTGGAGAATATTGAAATAGTGATGCCGGAATAGAAGACATATTAAGAGGATAAGAGATAAAGAATTCTTTAACTTGGCTCTGATACCAAATTTGTTGGGTTATAAAGCTATGGTAGGCTCTAAAAGATGATTTTATTTATGAAAGTTTTATTGAGTTGCTACAGCACACTCTTACAACTATTTAACTTCTCACTTTTTTCACTCTTACTTTGCAAGCTATCATACCACCTATTTATACTAGATAATAGAGCATTCTAGATACATAGAGAATTAAGAGATAAGACATGACTTTCAAACTAACCAATTTACTTGGGTCTTGACTTCATTCTTCAAAGCTTGAATTCCATGTATCAAAGATTGCAAATTAATTCATATTATTTAACATGAACTTGGCTGATCAAAGGCCCATCGGAGCCAAGCCACGGATCAAGTAGTGGTAGAGAGGAGAGTGTTTGAGAAAAGTAGTGGTACGTCTTTCTGCTCATGAATTATTTCTCTACAAAATCACAACAGCAAAAAAACTTCTACCCATTGTCGTAATATAATATATTTGTCCCTTTTTTTTTTAAAACCCAAGCGGCAAATATTGTTCCTCGTTTTACATATTAGATACCCTCAATCACCTAAACAAGTCACAGGCAGCCAAATTCTACTATCAACAAATGAAAAATCATACACTTAGCTTCTACATCTCCTTCCTCAGCGCATTAGCCCTCACTAGGTTCCCGATCGTATTCACGGCCAGCTTCAAGTCATCATCGGGTTATCGGGCACGACTCGTTTGTACAAATAACTATCAAGCGTCACCTTCTGCACGTACTTGTCGGCACACATCTCCACAAATGCCTCCCTCGCCGGATTCGACATGTAGAACACCTTCTGCAGTATGTCCAAAACCTTATACGTCGATCAATAAGTTTTCTCCCATTTTTCTATATATACCCTTGTTGAATTATTAAACTAAATTAATATTTGAAAGTTTATCCATGTATCTAGGTGGTTCTAGGAATTTACATAATTCATGAATGTAAGTTATAAGGTGCATGAAGGTAAAATGTAGGTGAAATGCATCATAGTAATTAGGGGAGTTTGAAAAGGTATTCTTATACCTATAAATACCTATGTGAGTCATTTACAAGTTGTAAGAGTAAAAAAGCCAAGAAGAAGAATAATATAATAAATTTTTTTTTTTCCCATCTTCCATTTTCTAACAAATTGGTATCAAGAATCATTTTTGTTTGGAGATCGAGGCTTGAAAAAGGTCGAACGGAACCCCATTTGTAGTTCCTTCACTTACAAAAGAAAATTATTATAATTGGTTCATACGAATGAGAGCTTTGCTTGGAGCCTATGAGTGTTGGTACTCCGTGGAGAAAGGAGACGATGAAAGTGAAGCGGCTGGGAGGAAAAAAGACCAAAAGGCGCTCACACTTATCCATCAAAGTTTGGATGAGAAGATGTTCGAGAAGGTTGCTGCGGCAACCACCTCCAAGCAAGCATGGGAAATTCTTCAAGCTTCATTCAAATGTGTAGACAAAGTGAAAAAGGTGCATTTCCAAACATTAAGAGGTGAATTTAAGTCCCTCCGCATGAAGGAGCCCGAATCTATTTCGGATTATATCTCAAGAGTCTTGACCATTACCAATCAAATGAAGAGGTATGGAGAAGATGTGAAAGATGATCGAGTTGTGGGAAAAATTCTTAGATCGTTGGATCCAAAATTCAACTACATCGTCGTTGCCATTGAAGAGTCGAAGGACCTAGACACCATGACCGTTGATGAACTTACGGGTTCACTACAAGCTCATAAAGAGAGATTGAAGACGCCAACTCAAGAATCGGTGGAGCAAGCTTTGAAAGCAAAGCTATCAGTCAAAGAGAAAGAGACTGACTCAGGACGAGGCCGTGGAGGTGCTCGTGGCGACAAGGACGAGGACGCGGAAGAGGAATACAAGGACAACATGATTATGCAAATAATAGGCATAATTATGACTCGACGAAGAACCAAGAAAGAGGTCGAGGTCGTGGACTTGGATGAGGCCGAGGCTCAAGAGGTGGAGGATATAGGCCGAATCAAAGGCATGACAAATCAAACATCGAGTGTTTTAATTGTCATCGCTATGGCCATTACGCCTGGGAGTGTCAAATTGACGTAGAGGAGAAAAGTAATCTCATGGAGAGTAACAACAATGAAGACGTGGATCCCACTTTGCTTCTCGCATGCAAAACGAATTAGGAAGACGAGGATAGTCGATAGTATCTTGACTCGGGAGCAAGTAGTCATATATGCGAGAGACAAAATTTATTCTCGGAACTTGATGAGTCTGTTGGTGGCAACATAACTTTTGGAGATTCTTCAAAAGTACAAGTAAAAGGGAAAGGTACGATTTTGATTCGCTTGAAAGACGGGAGTCATCAATTTATCTCCAATGTCTTTTATGTGCCGGAGATGAAAAGTAATATTTTGAGTTTGGGACAACTTTTGGAGAAAAATTATGACATTCATCTAGAAATAGAAGTTTGACGATGAGAGATGAAGATGGAAGATTACTTCTTAAAGTCCCGATGACGAAGAATCGAATGTTGTTGTTGAACATTCAAAGTGATGTCCCGATGTGCTTGAAGTCTTGTTTCAATGATCCATCATGGCTATGGCATTTGAGGCTTGAACATTTGAATTTTGATGGCCTCCAAATGATGTGCAAAAAGAGAATGGTGAAGGGGTTGCCTTGAATAAATCATCCGAACCAACTTTGTGAAGGGTGTATTTATAGAAAGCAAGCAAGAAAGAGTTTTCCAAAGGAGTCGACGACAAGGGAGCAATATCCATTGGAGTTATTTCACTCAGACGTGTGTGGGCCGATCAAACCAAATTCTCTTGGCAAAATAATTATTTTTTGCTATTCATTGATGATTATTCTCGGAAGACGTAGGTGTATTTATTGAAGGAAAAATCTGAGGTGTTTTCTACCTTCAAAAACTTCAAGATGATGGTGGAAAATCAAAGTGGTTATCAGATAAAGGCGCTTCGGTCAGATCGAGGTGGTGAATTCGCTTCGAACGAATTCAAAGAATTTTGTGAGAAAAATGGCATTCATCGTCCTATGATGACCCCATACTCACCTCAACAAAATGGAGTTACTGAATGCAAAAATTGGACGATCCTCAACATGGAAAGAAGTATGATAAAAAGCAAGAATATGCCAAAGGAGTACTGGGCTGAAGTTGTTTCATGTGCCGTCTACTTGATGAATCGGTGCTACACGAAGAGTGTCCATGGAATGACGCCACAAGAAGCTTGGAGTGGCTACAAACCATCAATTTCACACTTGCGAGTTTTTAGAAGCATTGTTTACATGCATGTCCCGGAGGAAAAGCGCACGGAACTCGATGATAAGAGTGCAAAGTACTTATTCATTGGCTATGATAATTATTCAAAAGGCTACAAGTTGTATAAGCTTTTGATAAGCCTAGATGTGGATTTGACGAAGAAGGCGTTTGGGACTAGAGTGGACAAGATAAAAATGATCAATATGGTCCATTATTTGATGAAGATGAAAAAGGCACAGTACAACCGACACCACCATCAACACCACCGCCACAAAGCATACAAGGTGATGAGGCGAGCTCGAGTGGTCCACGAAGATTTAGAGACCTACGAGAGCTATATGAAGCTATAGAGAAGGTAACAAATTTGAGTGCATTTACTCAATTTTGTTTGTTCGTTGAAGCTGAGCCCGTAGGATTTGATGAATCAGCCCTAGACGAAAAATAGAGGAAGGCCATGAATAAAGAAATAAAATCAATTAAGAAGAATGATACGTGAGAGCTAGCGCCGCTGCCTGAAGGAAAAAGCACAATTGGTGTTAAGTGGGTGTATAAAATTAAAAGAAATGCAAAAGGCGAGGCTAGTCGCCAAAGGATACAAGCAAAAGGCTGGAATTGATTATGATGAAGTTTTTGCACCCGTTGCCCGTCTGGAGACGATTCGGTTGATCATTTCCATTGCTTCTCAAAACAAGTAAAAAAAATCCACCAACTCGACGTAAAATCTGCTTTCTTTACATGAAGTTTTGGAGAAGGAAGTCTATATCTATCAACCACCGAGCTATGTTGTGAGAGGGCAAGAAGACAAGGTGTTGAAATTGAAGAAGGCTCTTTACGGCTTGAAGCAAGCTCTGCGTGCATGGAATAGTCGAATTGATCAATATTTTCGGCTAAATGGTTTTGAAAAATGTCCACATGAACATGCTCTTTACGTCAAGAGGAACAAAAATGACGACATGTTGCTTGTGTGCTTGTACGTGGATGATTTGATTTTCATGGGCAATAGTCCGAAGATGTTCGATGACTTCAAGAGAGCTATGGAGAAAGATTTTGAGATGACTGATATTGGGTTGATATCCTATTATATTGGCATTGAAGTGAAACAAAAAGACGAGGGGATATTTATTTCGCAAGAAACTTATGCAAAAGAAATCCTCAAGAAATTTGAGGTGGAGCATTGCAAGCCCGTGAGTACCCTCGTGGAATGTGGAGTGAAATTATCTTTGCATGAGGAAGGTGAGAAAATTAATTTCACATACTTCAAAAGTCTTGTGGAAAATTTGGGGTACTTGTCGAGGCCAGACATTCTATTTGGAGTTGGACTCATAAGTCGTTGCATGGAGGCTCCTACTTCGTCGCATTTGAAAGTGGCGAAAAGAATTCTTTGCTATATTAAATGTACAGTTGATTACGGAAATTTCTATACATATTCGCAAGATTTTAAGCTTGTTGGCTATTGCGATAGCGATTGGGCCGTTGACGATGATAGCCGGAAAAGTACTACTGAATTTGTTTTCTTTATGGGAAATTTTGTATTCACGTGGAATTCGAAAAAACAACCGATTGTGACTCTTTCTACTTGTGAAGCGGAGTATATAGCTGCCACTTCGTGTGTTTGTCACGCTATTTGGTTGAGGAGTTTGTTGAAAGAACTCAATTTTCCTCAAGAAGTTTCGATTGAAATATGTGTTGATAATAAGTCGGCACAATTGGCGAAGAATCTGGTGTGTTAATTCATATTTATTATTCTATTATTATTTTTTACTTTTCTGTTTTTATTTATTTTATTAGGTGTATATTATATTTTTGGGAGTATATTATCGTTTCCTTATCTTTATCTTATTAGAAATCCTGAAAAGAAAAAAGATTGGAGAGAAGATTTGGTGGTGATCTGGCTGTGAAGAAAATAAAAGGGAGCCTGCGACGTGAAGAAAAAGCGGGCAGCAATTATATTCTTCTTCTTGGTGCATTAAGGCTTTTGGCAGAATTATTTTTGTTCTTGGCAAGCAATTTGGTTTTGGAGAGCAGCAGCCGTGGGCAAGGGAGAACATAGGAGCAGCATAATTCTTCATGTTTCTTGGAAGTTTATTATAGCACGGGATAATTCGGCTTTGTTATTTTGATCTTTTTATTTGACATGATTTATTTGATGATATTGATGTGATATAGTTTCATATAATTGTCGAACTCGCGTTTCGTGTTTTTCGTAGTTCACTAGGTGTTTTTGGATTGGATGAAAAACATTGTATTTGATTTGTTCTAGTGAATTTTTGGCATGTTGCCTTAGTCTACAAGTGATTTTACTTGTAGGCTAAATTTTTGAATCATTCCTGTTATTTATTTCCGCTGCGTATTTTAATTTTCGATTTTTCACGTGAAAATTTGGAATATTCAGTACCTAAAATTCTAACAAGTGGCATCAGAGCAGGTCGCTTAATATAATAAGTGTGATTCTGATCTTTTTAGGTACGTATGGAGTTTACGGGGTTGCCGTTACCCGCACTTGTTTCGAACCGGCCAAAGTTATCCAACGAAAAGATGAAATATGGTGAATTTGATGCATCGGAGGAATCCTCGGCTGAGTATGATCCTAAAACTACCTCTGGAATCGATTTTACGATAACCGTGGATGAATCGAGGCCAAGAAATATCAGTCCGACAGGTGTCAGACGAAATGTCGCCCGAAGTGTCATGACACCTGGCAGGTATGAAAATGAAAATTTTGAATTTTTTTGCTTTAACTCCTTGTTTTGTGATGCTTCAGGCAGGGATTTAGGTCCTCCGAGCAGCCTTCAATTTGTTAGGTTTGAAGACCATGAAAAGGTGTACGTGGAACTTCATAAACGCTTTATAGATGCCGTATGGGAAGCGGATAGACTCGAGAAGGAGAACAATAAGTTGAAGGATGAGAATAAGAAGATGAAGTCAGAGGCTAAAAAGTTGGAAGAAGAGAACGATGCTTTAAATTCTACCATAACCCAATTGGAGGTGACCATCTCTGGTCCTGACCAAAATTAGTAAAGGTAGGAGAGGAACTTGAATACTCCCGTCAGACCTTCCAACGACTTAACACCGGTAAGAGCCAATTGGATGTCCTAGCTGCACTTGAACATAATCATAAGAAAGCGGGACTTGTTTTTAAGCCTACTATATTTGTCCGCCCATCGGAGGAAACAGGTGAGTCTTTTTCAAAATCCACGCCTAAGGTTTTTAAGAATACTAAACAACAAAGGCGTCGGTATGTTTGCCATTATTTTCTTTCACCCGGGTACATTAGACCTTATTGTTATAAATTGCATTCATTTGATAGGTCTTTTGAACCAGTGGTCCCTCCTGTGTCCCGAAATATGCCCATAAACCACGGAACTAGAACTAAAAATAAATCAAAGTTTGTTTGGGTTCCAAAATCTGATTTGAAATGCAATGTAATTCAGACATCTTTGAAGTCTAATATTGCAGGATCGTGGTACTTTGATAGTGGGTGCTCGCGTCACATGACTGGCACTCGTGAGTTCTTGTCCAATGTAGAACCTTGTGAAGGTGGGCGTGTTACATACGGAGGAGGTGAACATGGAAAGATCATAGGAGGGGGAACACTCAATGTTGATGGTCTCCCAAAGATTCAAAATGTGTTGTTGGTTGAAGGACTTAAGGCTAATCTTATTAGCATAAGTCAATTATGTGATGATAACCTTCATGTTAAATTTGATCGTAGCTTTTGTGAAGTTCTTGATGAGGCTAATTCATGTATTTTGTCAGGTGTACGAACTACCCAAAACTGTTATCGGGTCAAAAATGCTGAAGATGACGTTCGGGACTTGATGGACCT